AAAGGCGGTTTCTTGAGCTACCTTCCCCTAGTGGGTCGCCTAAATCAGCGAGCAGTTCAGAAGCAAGTACAGCAGTTTAGACCGAGTATGATCAGAGACAGTCCCTAAAACGCCATTAGTGCTGCATCCAACATCCCTTGTGCGTTGCTTCTTCTCTCCACGATGAGCTCAGTTGTTGAGTATGGATATATCTTGTGCGTTTTTTTATTCCCTTCAAAGGATTTCCATCTTTACTTAGGTGTTAGTTGATATACCTTTTACTTATGCTAACCATGAGAGGCTTTAGATATTTTGAGCTTAGTCAGCTGAGTGTATTATCTGCTGAATTTTCCATTGAGTTTTTCCTTTTTCTATCAATCTCTTCAAGGACAGTAGAGGTTGATTTTAATGTAATTATATCCTCTTTCTCTTCTCAAGTACCAATTATTATTATTATTTTCATTCACTTTTCCATCTCCAGTGAAATTGCAAGCCTGCATACCTTGAAATTCCTCCTGGATACAAAAAAGGACATTTTTAGTGAATGATGAGGGATATTGGGTTTCAGTTCTTTCAAGTTCCGTATCATACCTTGGAGCTATCTGTTTATTAATCTGAGCAAAATTTGTTAACTGAACTAACTCTGCCGATGGCTACTTTAAAATCTAGGAGAGTACTGCTAATGGACGAAAATGTTAAATTAGTACGTTTGTATTTACACAAATGCAATAATCAAATTGAAAGAAAACATTATTTGATGACCTATTTATATTTTTATTCAGATAATCTGATATACAGAGGATGATGGAGTACGTTGCACTAATCTTCATTACACTCACAACAAGAATAAGCTCCCCGTCAGAGTCGAAATGCAATAACAGCAACACAGAAACCGCACAAACTACTGTTTCTCAATTAAAGAAATCATGTATTAGTAGCTAGGGAGTACAACTAATGTGGTGACTGGATACACTGTAAGACCTGTAAAAGCATCTCATAAGTTCCACCCGAAACCAGTTACATTGCTCTTGTATTAGTCAATCATTGACTCGTTCGCCAAATAAGCTAGACCCCAGTATAATACAGAAACATATCAAACACTAGCTAAATGTAGGTAACTGCATAGCCTACTTTCTGACTAAAGCTCGTCTTTCCACATTGTTGTCTGATAACATTTCTCATCCCAGTAATACGGGAACTTCAATTTGGAAGCTGTGTGTGGCATCGACCAGTCATCGTACATAAACCTGAAAACAAGTGCGAGAAAGCAAAGCTCGGTTAAGTAACAACTAGAGCGTGCATGCACAATGTGGGATTGTAGAAAACTTATCAGTCAATCATGACAGGCCAACCACACAAGGAAAGATGAATAACAACATTCCTAGGCATGTTTGTATTTTCAGAAATCTCTTGCGGGCCTTTACGCAGCTAGTACCATCATGAACTTAGAAACACAAGCTGCTTCCAAATGCACAAGGCAGGCTGATCTCAACTCTTTCAAATGGCCAAATTAGATAGTAGTTGTTTTGGTCCATGGTCAACTATTCTTGTTTATTGTTTTCCTGGAAGACGGGTTACACAATGGGATACATGTTGACAAGAACAAACATCAAAGTTTAAAAACTTATGGTAAATCATATAGGAAACACAGGGTGTAACTGCATCAGAACAACTCCCGACTCAACTCTTATGAAGTCCAACTGTCCAAGTACTGATCCTTATCAGGAGATGAAACTGATACGGAGTCTTTCATCATGGGGAAAGTATAGAAACAAAAATATAAAAGTAACAAGGTTAACAAAAAATATTAAGCATAGACAAACTGATGGTACATGATAATCTGTGCAATGGTGGACTGGAAGTTAATTGTTCAACACATGTTACTTACACTTTCACTGGAGGACGAGATATAACAACTAAAACTTGTAGATCTTCATGTTTACCAGTGTTCCATACCTGTAATTACAAAAATAAAAGCATACTTCCGGTCACACGTGCATAGAGAAGAAGCCTAATTTAAAAAGTTGTAATATGATTGACCTATGAGCTCAGTTGAGGTTTTGTGACTGCAAAAGCAGCACTGGTATAGGTCTTTAAACACGCTATATTAACAATTGTGTCTTAATCCACCACAAACAGAAACCTAGTAAAATATTGACCGACTTAATTCTTAAATCTTAAATCCTTTCAACAATTACTTTGTCAACTGATTGATTATGATTCAAGAAGTAAAATTTAGAAACCCCTGTAAGTGTTTTTATCTACAAAACTAGATGCAACATTAAGAATGTATCAGCTCAAAGTGTTCTTTATCAAGTTATTGAACTCTATTTACATCTTGCAGGAATAATTTTAAGCACAAGTATGATAGAGAAAAAAGAGTTCAAGGCAGAATGATACCTGGTGAACATCATTAACAGGGATATGAAAAGTGCTATTAGGGAATATATGAAACTCCTGTGGGTTTCCTGGGTACTTTGAATGTGAACTAGGAGCAAGATAGAGAGTGCCTTGACCCTTCAAGACGACAAAAACTTGTTCACATGAGTGCCTGTGGATTGGTGTGCGAGATCCAGGGGCAAATGTTTGAAGCCACACCTCTATCTATTCATGAAACAATAGTGTGATGAAACCAAAGTAAATTGCAACAGTCAAAACCAAATAGTCAATATTAACTATCAATCAACTTCATTTCAATCTCAAATTAGATAGAACTGGCTATATAAATCCTTTCTATCTACATTCTACTCAGGTCAGCGAATATCGTCAAAATTAAGAAATTGCAAGCAGAATAGCACCTCTTTCATGCCGTGCAAGACTGAACCTGCAATTATAGTGTGAGATAAACCTGACCTCCCGTAGTTGTGTTGTGGAAGCTCGCTAATATTCTTCACGAGTGGTAGTCCTGCAAAATGAGGAAAATCACAGCTTCTATACTCTAAACCAGGATAGAATTTTGCTCATAATAACAACCAAATGAAAACGTTAATTAATTTGTTTACAGTTCAAAATAATTCAGAATATTATCAATCAATCATTGGAATTTCAGTCAAAGAAACCAATAACTTGTTTCTTCTAGAATTAAAAGGGCCACAACTAAATCAAATCAGCGTCTAAGCTCCCCAGAATTTCCTCCAATAGGAAATTTTCCCTAACTTGAAGGCAGAAGCATGATTTTAAATTAGTGAGAACAGAATATCAGTGCATTGCATCTACTACACTACTAGTTAGTGAAAATTTATATCAAATTTTCTCATACACATACAGAAGAAATGATGAGAAGACTTGCCATTAATTGAGCAAGGAGAAGCTTCGGCTGTGGCGAACCACAAAAGAGAAACTAGTATGACGACGCCATGGCGGATCATTATCGCGCCATCAGTCTGAAAACTGGAAACTCCACTTTTCATCACCGTACCGTCGTTTCGAGAAAACGTCCAGAAAGATCCACTAGGGATGAACGGTGAACTGGAGCTTTTTACATTTTAGTTTATAAAAGATTCGATAACTGATTTTACTGAAATGTCCCCATTTAGGTTTTAGTTGGAGTGTTCTTTTAAGTGGAAAAAGGGTTATATTTATTTTTTCAATCAAAAGGTTACTTATAATATTAAAGATTAATGGGTTCTCCGCCCGCGGACAATGATAGGTCATTATTACTAATTTGTGTCACATTTGATAATACAAAGAGGTTCATTAACGAAACTCATGCTCCGTTTTTATGATTTCTAACTTTGCCATCAAGAACCTGCATTTAACAATAAGATCATCATAGAGCAGGTTATTATTGGTTAGCATTTTAATAGCTTCAGATGAGCCAAAATTTATTTCTATAAGGCTAAGGTTGTGCTCTATTGGTAGTGTCATGCCCTTTCGCATGACTTGGAGTTCAGCTCTAAAGGTTATATTGTAAGTGGCGTATGTTCAGTGAAGTCTATCATCCAATTCGAAAAAAGGTTATATTTATGGTTACTTCTTACACTCTCACAAAAAAGTTTTTTTTTTTTAATATATATATATATATATATATTCTTTTTAGCTTTAGTTGTAGTTTTTTTTTTTTTTTATATTTGGCTCCAATTTTAGATACATACTTATCGTTGAATAGTTAAGCTTCAAGTTCTCACTCTTATTATTGTATGTGGCACCTACATGTATTTTTTTTTTCCAATAAAAATTGCTCTTAATTTAATTCTTCTATCCATCTAATTTTTTATCCTACCAATCTAACCCATTAATTCAACTCCTAATATCATTTTTCATCGTCACTTTAAAGAAGAAGAAACATTGATACACGATAGAGAGAGCTAGTACTGTGTCATTTTCAAGATTCACAAAAATGCATCCGTCCAGTGATAACAAAATTTGATAATGGACGTTGTCAAAACCATCAATTTCAAATTTTTTTATGATTACATGAATTCTCAATCATTATAATTTGTATGTATGTAACGATCAAGTTGATGTTCAGTGCACCACTTATAATATAACTTATAGTCCTATACAATGCATGAATATTAAGAATAATGACGAGGCAAATATTCGAGAGAGAAAAAAACATGAGAAAATTTCAAAACGTTAAATATAAAATAGGTGCAAAATCAATATTATAGTTACTATAGCGAAGAGGGCTATAAAAATTTTAAAAATAGGGCGAAATTCATTGTTGACAAAACAATCACATTCGATTAAATAATTTCAAGACACTTATAGTAAGCCCAAAACAACAACTATATAATAATCATTTGCAAAGCTATGTATGAAGATTGATTAAAAAAAAGGGATTAAATTAGAGAATCCTAAATTAGTAAGGACCAAGAACAACTATATTTAGTGCAATAATAATCATTTGCAAAGCGCATGATTGGAAAAAAGGGATTAAATTAGAAAATCCTAAATTAGTAAGGACCCTACTCTGTAAATTTCATACGTCTGGGCGACAGATGCTATGTAAAACCAAAGCAGGTGTCCATTTTGGATAGTTACACAGTCAGTTGCTCGTCGATTGATTGCTCTCAGAAATGGCGAAAGATTCTCCAAAAACTCCCAAGGTAAATTTTCTTCGAATGAACAATTAATCTTTATACTTGTCTGTTGATTTGCTGTTTTGAAATTACTTCTAGAAAAAGATACGGCTACTTGTAGTTTTTGCAGTAAAAAAAAATAGAGATCTGGAATGTCATGTCGCCTGAATTTTTTGGTAGAAAAAATTCTGCTTTGTAGAATGATTCCGATGGCTATTCTAGGTTTTGATTAGAGAGGTACTTTATTTTGTGACAGACGTCGTCGTCGAGGTCCGCAACGAATCCATCAGTGAGCGTGTGGGCAGCACAATGTGAAAAATGCTTGAAATGGAGGAGGATTGCGACACAGGAAGAATTTGAGGAAATCAGAAGTAGGTTTACTGAAGAACCCTTTAACTGCCACAACCAAACCAATGCTTCTTGTGATGACCCTACAGATATTGAGTACGATTCTTCTCGAACTTGGGCAATTGACAAGCCCAATCTGCCTAAAACCCCATCTGGGTTTAAGAGAGAATTGTACCTGAGGAGAGATTACTCTAAGATGGATGCTTATTATTTCACTCCTTCAGGGAAGAAACTCAGATCCTTTACTGAAGTAACTACTTTTCTTCAACAAAATCCCGAGTTCAGTGACGTTAAACCCTCAGATTTCAGCTTTACCAGCCCCAAAGTTATGATTGATACCATACCCTCTACCGCTCTTCTTGCCAACTCTCACAAGAAGGGTGCAGCTAGTAGCACTAAATGAATGCGGTGCGTCCATGGATGGAGCTGGAGTTGTTCATATGCTTAGTAGATGCTGTGTTTAGACTTTAGAGTCTTGGTAATCTTAAAGGCTCAACTTATTCGCCATGTATTTTTGTTATTTTCCATCTCTTTTTTATGCAAAATACATCTCAACTGCTCAATTCACTTTTTGTGGTGATGGATTTGATTTGACCTTAAAGCTGTGAAGAAAGGAAAATTTGTTAGCCTTCTTTACTTTGATTTAGCTGCTAACTTGACTTCCCTTTCCTTCCCATTCGATTCTAACATAGGATAGCAGCTTTGAAGTTTTGCTTCTTTCCTTTCTATATATGCTTGCCCCGTATAAAAAGTATATCTTTGGTTGACCAAAAGAGAATGCACATTCATTTGATCCTGATCCTTGTGGATCAAATGGCAAACTGGACAGGACCTGCATGACTGGTCTATATGCCAAAGTACCAGTGAAATAGCGCCCAATAATATGAATTGCCTCATGTTGTTGTAAAATAGAAACTATGCGTGCTTGTTTAGCTGTTTATACCGATGTATAGCCTAAAGAGGATGGATTTAGGTTGGGGAGTTGGTTTTTGAGTTGCATAAATGGGTATTGCTTCGGGGGTCAATCCATTCACATGGAATAAAAGAATGTGTCGGAATATGAGGTTGTGTTAGTTATGATTCATTGTTAACCTACCAATATAGGGTTTATATTTATTTGTTTGTGGCTGGGGTGAATGAGGTTACCTGGGTAAGAAGAGGATGAGGTGATTTTCTCTTCCACGTTGGCATTTATAGAATTTAAATTATTATTATTAATCGTTATATAATTAGAAGGGTCAATTATCTTATGATTTGATAGTGGAATGGCCCCTATGCTATGTTGTGTGGACTCTTCACTTTTGATATTGCACCCATGTTGGATTATCCAAAAATACACTACTTTTGGAGAATCTGACACGTACCTGCAGACATTTTTGAAGAGTTGAGCAACATAGCCCCTATGTTAGTAGATAAAATTGTAGGGTTCATATATGAATTACATACTAAAATATTTCAGGCAGTTTTTTGTTCTATTGTATGTAGAGTAGGGGTATCTGAGGTTCCAGTAAGGGCCAAGATAGGTTTAGTAGGGTCTGGGTAGGCTTTTGGCCCACCGCCATTAGAGATAACAGATCAGAAGAGTTTTTTAAAATAATGATGTCATTCTGGTGTTATCATCGCTGTGCAAGGTCTTGTTCTGAGGTTTTGGAGAATCAGTAGTAGTAGATTGATATGTGTTTGTTTGCTTACATATGTTAAGATTTTAGTTTCTAATAACTTACATATGGTAGCATGAAAAAGTTTGACGTTTATATCTCCAATTTTCTGAGAGTTGATATTGGTTTCCGATTTATGGTATCTCCTTTTGGTGGTATGTCACATTGTTCTGTTCTTCTTGTTAAAGGTGACTGTCTGCCAGTCCTCCTTCAGATTCTGCATTTCTTGTTGGTCCATGGACCTGGCTTTTTGGTCTCTATATTTTCTCTATATGTGCAGTTATGCTGAGTATGTCCAATTCTACCACAGGCAAGGTAGAGTATGTCTGCCCCTTGATAAATTATCTCTTGTATAAGTTATTTGTAGGGACTTTGATGCAGATATGTGCATACATGAATTTTGACCCAATTTTTGCCAGAACTGTAGAGTCGTAGTATTCTGTTGGTAGTTCGGTAATCTAAAGTATGTTTTCATTAGCTACAAAGCTTGGCTGTCAATTTTTTTAATTATAGGAAAATCAAGGCCCATTTTGAAGGGTTTTAACATGTAGTATTAGTATGATTTCCACAAAACAGTCAAATCGTCTTTTTAGATAGATATTCATGGCTCATCATTAATTTGATAATGATCGAAAGTCCCGTGACTTTTGGATTCTGGCTATCTTATCATTATATTAGACAATAAATAGGAGTATTAAGCTGCTTTCCTCTGTGATGTGTAAATCGGTATCTGTTGCTTTCCATGGTGATTACCCAATGGCAGCAAATCAGAAAAGGTAGGCAGTCTGGCATATTTGTATACAGTAAATGGTAGAGTATGTTTTTCTGTCTGGGTTAGAATTTCGGTAGTTATTTGATCTATGATCATATATATTATCTAGTGAATTTCGGTGTTGACTGATTGATACTATTAATCTTGTTTGATCAAGACGGAGATGACCCATTTTTAATAGAATAGATATACATCTTTTAAGTAAGAAACTTTTTATAATTATATGGTAACTTTTGTTATTTTATTTTAATTTAAAATACTTCTTCATCTCCAATACAAATTGAAAAACAATTGTAGTATCCTTTTAGTTTACAAAGATATAATGAGTCTAATGCAAATTATGCACTAAGATAAAAACTTAATTTAGATTAAATAGAACAAAAGTAAAAACATCATTAATAGTTAGATGCTAGTAAAAAGTCATAGCAAATCTTACAGCTACTTGTACAAAAACATAAGTATGTAACAATACGATATATTATGTTATGGTGAAGAGAAACATATAGCATGACAATATGATGATATTAAAATTGGCCTAACATTGAAACGAGTTTGAATTCATAGTCTATGTATTATTTGCTAGGATATTATTCCTAACTAATTTCCAAAATTGTTTGAATGGACTATGATTTTTCCAGTCAATCATGAGTTTACAAAATCTGCCACTTACTTCCAACACTAATATTTGACCAAAAGTTATAGAGAAATTTCCATATATAACGATAATTTATGCATTTACTAAATGTAATAATGATTAGTTTAAAAATACAGTGGGATACATTGTATTCAAAGGCAAACGAAATATATTATATCTATATCATTAGCTACAATATTCCCAATTAAAAATCACTTCTTCTTTTTTTGGTCAATCACTTGTATATAGGTTATTGTCTTTAACTCCATATATTTATTCTAATAAAATAAAGTTAATTATCCAATTTTAGTTTCAATTTGATTGATTCTAGCGAAAAAGGAATTAAAGTACCTCATACAGTAGTTATTATTAGGACAAAAATGGAATTTCATTAATTTGTATTTTCGTAATATATTAACCATAATTTTTGTGCCTTGTTTTAAGAAAAGTCAATTCGATGAGCATTGATTTGGTACATACTTACTAAAGTTGCTTGTTTATTGCAATTTAAAATTAGTATATGAAATCTGTAGATCTGCAATAAAGTTTTGAGTTTTTGAGAAGACAACCCCACATCATGGAAATAGTAGCCAAGTTGCAGAAACAGTTTATGGACTTCATTTCAGCTTTGTACCGTGAGGTGGTTTTCTTTCTTTCTTTTTTTTTACTGATTAGGGGATTTTTCTGATGTGAGTGTTTTGCTTGCTCGTAAAACTCTTTTTTTTCTTTTTTCCTTTTGAAAAGAGATTCTTGGATGATCAGTTTCTTCAGCTTCAGAAATTGCAAGATGAGAGCAACCCAGACTTTGTTTTTGAAGTAGTTTCACTTTTCTTTGAAGATTCAGAAAAACTTATCAACAATCTGGCAGCAGCTCTGTGAGAAATAAATGTCTTTTTTTACTTTATTTTGTTGTTTACCTGAAATTGAAATATTGGATCATTAGTTTTTTTTTTTGGTCAATTGTAGTCAACAACAGGTTGTAGATTTTAAGCAAGTTGATTCCCATGTCCATCAGTTCAAGGGTAGCAGTTCCAGGTATCCAATTTTCCTTTTTAGGTTTTTGTCATTGACTAAACTACTTTAATTGATGCTTGAAGTTGTATCTTTTTTGGACTTTTTTTTTTTTTTTGATATTTTGTACACAAGTGATACATCTTGCGTGAATTTATTGTGATCAAAGATTTAACCTACTTATCTTTTATGCTATTCGAATTTAGGTAATTGAATGGAAGTCTTTTAGGAGTTAGTAGTATCCCGATTAATTGGTTGATCAGAATCTCTGTTATATTTTGCAGCATAGGTGCACACAGAGTAAAGAATGCTTGTATGGCTTTCAAAACCTTCTGTGAAGAGAAGAACATTGAAGGGTGGGTATAGCTTGATGCTTTTACAATTTTTGCCTTACTCTATCTATCTGTATAAGGTTTTGGGGTTTTCAGAAGATTTACATAAAAAGATTTGACTTTGTAGACATTTAGAAAAAATGTTGTTGGAAATTTTGTTTTCTACCATGTAAATCATATGTAATTGTGTTTTTGTTAATTCATTGGTATATTGCGCATAGTGATAAAGTGGTTAATAGGTATCAATGCGTAGAAACATGATATTAGATTTACCTATGATCATGTGGTATATTCTTGGTCGCACGCAAAATACGTCTATAGGGCATTTTCTAAGTCGGACATTATTTGATGCTAATATGGCTCTTCATTTACGAAGGTACATGTCTAGGACCTTCCAATTTATCTTTTTCACACATTTCTACTACGTTATAATTGCAATTCCAATGTTGTCGTGTCTTGGTGGCCCCACCTCAAGCCTCCTGATCTCTTTGTGTTTCTGGCTCTCTTTTGGGACACCATTTACATAGTTCCAGTAACTAAACAAAACGAATCACGCCTTCTTGGAGTTCTATGTATACAGTCACTGCAGAATAAAGAACAGAGGGATTTGAGCAGAGATGTTTCTGGTTAGTAAAAAAGATAAATTGGAGTCTAACATGCCACTCCATTCCTGTTCAACTCTTATGCTTGATGTTATCAGATCACAATAATAGACCAGCTTCACTAGTGAGTCTCTAAATCTTCACAAAATTATTGTTGCCCCTTAGGGGGACACCAGTATGAACTGCCTCTGTGCAGAGATCTTTTCAAGTAGCATTTACATTTTTTTCTGCCTCAAATCTGCTTAAGTCTGCGTTGTTTTCCTAAGTATTTTGACTTCTCTTTCTTCACAGTTTGAACATGAAAGGCCAATTTAATTGAAGCATCTCTTAGTAAAATCTGGATTCATTTTTTTAATGACCTCATTTAATTAGCTAGAAAAGATCTGCCCTAACA